ATTTCCTTTACCCTTAATATCTGACCAAATTAATAGACTTCATGGAAACTGTTATTTCACCACTTTGGATATGGTTAGCGGTTATCACCAAATACCAGTTCATGCAGATTCGATAGAAAAAACGGCGTTCGTAACTCCAGAAGGTCATTTTGAGTACCTGGCCATGCCATTTGGACTGCGAAACGCTCCAGCAGTGTTTCAACGGGCTGTTATGAAAGTTCTTGGAGAGCTTGTGCATTCTTATGTGGTAGTTTACATGGACGACATTTTAGTATTAGGAACAGAAGATATTGAGGAAAGTTTGAAAAGGGTTACTACTGTATTACAAATACTTACTGATGCCGGATTTTCTCGTAATGTTAAAAAGTGTAAATTTTTGAAGCGAAAGGTAGAGTATCTTGGTTATGAAGTCAGTGATGGTGAAATTAGGCCCAATCCAAAGAAAATAGAAGCCTTGATAACTCTTCCACCACCACAAACGGTGACTCAACTACGCCAATTCATTGGCTTAGCTTCATATTTTCGGCAATTTGTGCCAAAATTTTCCCAAGTAATGTCACCGTTATATGCTCTAACAAGTTTAAGCAAGGGAAATCTTATTTGGAAGCCATCACATGAAGTTATTAGGCAAAAAATTATAGCAGTATTAACCGATTCGCCAGTTCTTACTATTTTTGATCCAAACTTCCCCACTGAATTGCATACGGATGCCAGCTCCTTAGGATATGGGGCAATCCTTATGCAGAGGAGTGACAAAAATCTTCGTGTTGTGGCATATTTTAGTAAGAGCACCACACCTGCAGAAGCAAAGTACCATTCTTATGAGTTGGAGACCCTTGCAGTTGTAAATGGTGTCAAGCACTTTAGACATTTTTTATACGGCCGGAAATTTGTTGTTATTACTGACTGCAATTCATTGAAATCGGCACGTAGTAAGCTGGACTTAACACCTAGGGTACACAGATGGTGGGCTTTTCTGCAATCCTTTAATTTTGATATTATACATAGGAATGGTGATCGTATGGGTCACGTCGATTTCTTTTCAAGAAACCCACAACTTCCCTTGAACTCTAATAACCTCGATAAAGTTGAAAAAAAAGAAATTAACATTGCGGATATTTCCGGAAATTGGTTAATTGCTGAACAGCATCGCGATGAGGAAATTCAGAAATTATTTTGCGATTTAAAGAATGAAAAACTTGGCGATAATTTATCTAAAACTTATGAGTTGCGATCCGCTGTGCTACATCGCAGTATACAACGCAATGGCAGAACAAAGTGTTTGCCAATCCTTCCTCGAGCTCTAAGATGGTCTGTTATTAACTGTGTTCATGAATCTTTAATTCATCTCGGATGGGAAAAAACTCTCGAAAAGATTTATGAGATGTACTGGTTTGAGAACATGACAAAGTATGTCAAAAAATTTATCGACAATTGTATTACATGTAAAGTTTCTAAATCCCATTCTGGTAAAGTACAGGCGGAATTACATCCCATTCCAAAGGTCTCGACTCCGTGGCATACAGTACATATTGACGCAACAGGCAAACTTAGTGGTAAGAGTGACCAAAAGCAATATGTTTTTGTATTAATTGACGCATTCACAAAATTTGTAATTCTGCACCACACCTTACATATTGATTCAAAAAATAGTATTCAGGCTGTAAAATTCGGTGTATCACTTTTTGGTGCTCCAAAACGTATAATTGCAGATCAGGGTAGGTGTTTCGCTAGTTCTGAGTTTCGAGACTTTTGCAAATCAAATGGTATTGAACTGCATCTTATTGCTACTGGTAGCTCGCGTGCGAATGGTCAGGTAGAACGAGTAATGAGTACTCTTAAGAACATGTTTACTGCTGTAGAGACAAGCAAAGATCGTTATTGGCAAGATGCTCTTCCTGATGTGCAATTGGCTTTAAATTGTACGG